AGCAGTTTGGTGTTGAGATTTACTTTGTTTTTTTGGCTTTTCAATGAATGGGACAAAAAAGAAACGAGAACCCTAAAATGTGATCCGGTCAATTTCGCACTGAGAACGGCCGCACCTGTCGACACCCCTTCAACCAATACCACGTAACCTGAAAAGTACCATTTCATGAAAATCCAATAAATGTCAGCCGGAAAAGAGTAATCTTACATGCATAAGTCAAAACAAAGGTGTCACGAACACGGTAACTAATGGCTTATTATTTTTCGACAAATTTGCGAATTTTATAAAAATAACCTCGCTTTTTGACCTTCTCTAGCGTGCGCACGCCTTCTGGTGCTTCGTACTTCGACTGCGAAAAAGGCACAATTCGAAGAGGTCTTTCAGATAACGACGAGGACTCAAGATGCCATTCAAATGGAATATCGCCAAGATCCGTGAACATATCACCTAAAAAGTAATATCGGTTTTTGAGTTTCAGTTCGATAGATGCACAAATAAAATGCACGCGCAGCATAAGAATTAGAAGAATAGGAACACAAACCAGACCAGCCGGTGCGATCATGCGTTTTGTGCAATTCAGCCCGTCGAACGATTGCCTATTAATGATTTTTACTACTTTGTACTTTAGTCTATGCAAAAATAGTTCAAACAATGGAAAACAGTTAAAAATTTCACGCACCAGCGCGTGAAAGCTAAATTCGAAACCTTGAAGGGTGAATATCTCTATCCCGAGTTTACCCGCCAAAATTTTCACGAGGCCGTAGGTGACACCCAAGTGCACGGAAACGCTGAATTTGAATGGGCAAGGTTGAGCGTGGGCAGGGGGTCATTACCCTAAAATTTCAGCCTTCTACACTCTGTGGTTCCCGAGATATTAATTTACCCGTAAAAAACTTTCACGGGACCACAAGTGTAACCCGCGGGTACGGAAAGCTGAATTTAAATTTGCGGGATCACACGTGGGTGGGTAAGTAAGGTCGGAGCTGTGGAAAGAGAAGAAAGAAGAAAAACTACTACTACCGGGTCTTTGACTGCTGCAAGACAACTGGAATGTCTGTAACTGTTTTTTTGTTCCTAAGATTTCATACATAGACAGACTTAGACGCAGGCCAAAAGAACTCAGAAGCAAGAAAAACCAATTAGAAGGAAAAAAAAATTTTTTTAACGGGACAAGAAAAGGAAGCCAATCATGCATGAAAAGTCTGTAGATATAAAGGAATTTTCCAGGGGGAAGGCCAATTTACAATGAAAAAGATGAAGTAGAATTTAAAAAAAAAAAGCCAAAACTGAAGCAAACGCTTATAAAAGCCCGACCTTCCGCATTGAAAGCCTGTACAGCAATTTTCACGGGAGATGCATCGAGAAAGAGCACTTTGGTGGTGGTGGAAATACCAATTTTCGCAATAACATCGATTGTTACGCCACAGCTCAGAACAACATGCGCATCTGAAAAGGCAACAGAACGAGCAATCGCAGTGGCCTAATCTAATCTGTACAATGTTTAGCTTTTTTGTTCATTCGAGGAGGCTAATTGTACGGGCTTGCATTCGGTGACTGATCCAAAGAACCAAATTCTCCACAGAAATAGTCGCCGAATCATATTCGCTTAAAGAAGTATAAAAACCGCGATAAATGATAACTGTGCGGGAAAGAAAGGGAAAAATCTTTGGCTCCTCGATGTCTGCAAAAATAATTCAAATTTTTTTTTCTTTAATACATGGACACACAGACAAACGAAGGGGGGTATGCAGACGTAGGCTCACCCATTAGGATGTTTTGAAAAGTGCACAGAAATTGCATTGGCAGTTCAAAACAGCTGCGTAAATAAGCAAAAATTTTTGTGTTTTTGCAAGCTAATCTTCGATCAAATCCTTAACAAATGAAATTCAAATGCGCTGAAGGGGAAATGTGACAGTGCCTTGCAATTACTAAAACAAGCATAAACCTTTATCTTCAGCAAAAACAACGGCAGTTTGTTCTTCGGGATGGCGCGAGACTGCTGCGATACGGGCTTCTGCCGAGCACCCGCTGGTCCCTCGCGGATTCACCACTTCCACTGCGATGATGTCCGGCCGAGTTGACCTCCTGAAAGCCGAGGTGACCAGTGATTTCCACTGGGCAATGGCCACTAAGAGTCAGATAAATTAAAATGTAATAATAGACCAAAAATACTGTACGCAGGCATTATGTGTAAGGTGATATTTTATGGTGCAAATTGCCTTTATCTTTTAGATGTAGTAGGGTGATATTTTTCGATGCAGTCTCTGCGTGTTTCATCCCTTAGCTGTAAACACAGACCGGGCTATGCATGCGGGTAGGAGTGGGAATCGTCAGTAAACATGCGCTTCAAGTGAATTAGCCAGCTGGAGGGCAGCCCCTCGATGGCTTCTCACTCGCTGCTTCTCAATGAAATAGAAGAATAGAAGAATTTCACTTGAATGTCATGTGTTTGAAGACATTTTATGACGCAGCCTGTGTAAAAACTGTCGCATATAACTTCGAGATGAAATGAAAGCAAAATTCAGACATCATCCTCCCAGTCCGAATAAGGCCCCATCGTAGTCTAGCGGTAACGTTCGGGACGAAGCAGTGACACTCAATACACAACAAAGACCCCTCAAGCCCCCCTCCCTCCCTTCACGATCATTTTTTTGCATTTTAGCAAATCTAGCAAAGTTTCCCTGTTTTAGAAAGGCGCTTTAAAAATGTGAAGAAATGAATTCGACGTAAAAAACTGTTCCCCACACATTTCGGGAAGAGGAGACCCCCCCCCCCTCCCCGAAATACTTTAAGGGTAACAAGTCCATGGCCAAGCGCACGCTAATAGTCGCTGTCGCCGGGTTCCTTCGTTCAGGAATTGCTAAAAAATATGTTAATTGACGATTTTGACTTCCCAGCACATGCCAGTACCAATTTACCTTCGAAACGAATGAACGAATCGCTGAAAGGGAGGGAAAGGGGTTGTCGCACTGGCAAAATCGGATTCTCGAGTGGCCGAACGATAGCAGCAACACTACTCCCAACATGTCAATTTGTATGGGAATATGGGGGAATATTTGTGGAAAAAAACGAACTAGTGCGGACATGAAATTACACACAAACA